AAACCTGTTGTGTTGCAATTATTAAACTACTTCTCTGGGAACAACGTGAGAGCAGGAATTCTTATTACCTTGTTCATCTCCAAGCATAGCACCTGGTACATAGTAGACGTTCAATAAATACTGGTTAAGAAGGCAGAGATTGTACCCAGTAATCCCATTGAATGCATTGCTATGGAAGGTCCTCAGGAAATATTTGTTGATTCAATTGACTCTTGGCCTGAAACAAAGTAGTAAAATTTCACAGAAACTTGAATTACTTTTGCACCACGGTTGCCAAGGGACTACACAAAATCATTTGACGTCTGCTTTCAGACCACATAGCTCAGATTTCCTACCTCTAACATAAAATTTTGACCCTCAGAAATGTCCTGAAGTTAACTAAGGTTGTGTATGAGCTGTGAGAGGTTTAGCTAAAAGGAAGACATAGTCCTTTTTTGTTCATTTTTATAGAAAAATAATAGCCTTTGTAATTCTAAGTCAGAGGTAATAAAAGCAGCGCCTGGGTTTCCCACCCCCTCTCTGATACAGTGGCTGCTAAGCATTCTGGGAGTGGAAAGGTAGCAGTATAATAAGTGCTATAAGAAATCCCCAATTCACAAGGGCTTGTTCCCAGGTAGATGCCTGCAAACAGCAACAGCAACAACAGCCAGCCCTAGGTTCTTCACATTTTAGCCATGAGCATCAACTATTGGTACCTCACTTAAAATAAAGAGGGTTTAGTGGATGTTGCTTGCAAATGAAGCATGTGTTTTTACGAAGCATGTGTTTTTATGGAGACAAGGAGATTCAGGAGAAAGATATGTTAGTTTTCAAGAATTCGAAAGGTCTGAAACAGGATGCTTCAGGCTTATTTAGAATTATGAATTGTCCCTAGAGCACAGCTAGATGGGTGTTCTTTACCCCAGTCTCTCCTGTACATCTGCAACAAAAATATAACAAATGACTCTGGAGCGCTGAGTGACTAGACCCTTACCAGCCCAATGTCTCACAACGCCCCATGGCACTCTAATGACATGTTTTCCTGGAACTTCTTTCAGCTTCTTTGTGCTTGTTTTCTCCTGTCACTCCTGCCTGAGCCAGATACACAGTTAAATTCAGAGTGACTACTGCCAGGCACGGGAATGCCTCTCCTAGAATATCTGTATTAGACAGGGAGCCCTTTGGCTTCCAAGCAATCTGTGTGTCAGCAAACTCCTCATTTTTGTACATTGATTAATGTATTCATCAGCGTTCAATAGATATTTATGGAGTTCTGCTACGTGTGACTTCTAACACATCTTCAGGCCTTGGGCTTGGTGTTATTGCTCTGCCTCTCAAAACTGATGGTCTTCGGAGTGCTCCCACTGTTACATATCATGGCGACATCACTCTGCATTTGGGTGTTTATGGGCTTATCTGCACTCCCGCCCCCTACTCACCAGGGAGCTGCATAAAGACAAGGATTGTGTCTGGTAGACTGCCTTTGTAATGACTAGCACAATGGCTGGCACACATAGTCACATCAAAATATCATTATTGAACAACAATGGATAAATATATGCATACATAAGTACAGTGAGTTTGCTGCCAGTTGAAATGTTTTCTCAGAGGCCAGATTTGCAGTTAAGAGGGATCTTGTAGAGAAGTTGTGCTTTTTGGTATTATACAAACCACATTGCGTTGTGATTGCTGATGCACTAAGCTCACTTCCCCATTTGTGAGTTCCTTGAGAACAGGAAGAGTTCTGTCATTGAAACCCTACAGAATAAGCACACAATCAATGTTTGAGAAGTGTACAAAAAGTCTGTTTTCTGAGCATGAACTAATTACACCACAAGAATGCTGGAGCATTAGAGAAAATGCGGGAATAGTGTAATCCACTTGTTTTGTAGGGTACCAAGAATACCTTGATAAATATTAGCTGATGTGCAACCCTTTGCTTGCTATTTAGATTTACTGATTTCAATAGAAAGGAACCTAAAAACTGGCATGTTATACAATCCAGATACCAGGGACGATTTCTAATCACCCCGTAGTTCATAAAATATACATTGGCTCGGTCTGTGGTTGGATTAAATGCCATTGTTTAGGCAGAGTAGGATATGTGCAATAATAGGTCTGCTGAGTGAATGACGGGTTTGGTTAGTGGATGAATTTATCCTGTGTCCTTGCATTTAGTACAATTCTTTTCACTCTTTGAACAAATAAACCAATAGCATTGCTAATCCAGTACATATAAAAAGCACCTTTGGTAAATGCCAGTTTTTCCAGAATAAACCCAACAATAAAGATTACTTTTAAATCTCAGTTTCTTACATAACAGTGGCTCTTGTACAGAGAGATTAACACGGTATCTTGTTTCTTCCTGGTGTGATCTTACTTTCATCTTGTGAATATGTCCCTGTTTATGTCTGTATATTCACCTGTATCTTTATGAATTCTTGGAAAAATTCAGTATCTCAGCACGTTTCAGAGACTAAATAGGCTAGAAGAATGATGATAGTTAATTGTTTCGGGCCAGAAGTTACTTGGCACGACTTGGGAGAACAGCAGGAGAGCAATGGAGCATGGCAAAGGAGAGGTGGGCAGTCCACGCCTGCTGCCCAGGGACCTTAACTGGTGGTTTGTCATGTCTTAGCATGACGGTATTTCAAACCATGTGAGTTTGAAAAAATATATATACCCAGCTCAGGGCTTGGTCTGTGAACAATCACCTGCCTTGATTTAAAGCACACAACTCTACTATTGAACCAAATGTTTTGAAGCTAATTAGCCTCAGACTCCGGGCTAAAACCTAAGATAAATTAGGCTGGGTCTAAAAAGAAATCAACTTGTACAGAGACCAGTTCTCAACACCACCACTTCCTTGCCTGTAGCAACCATGGATGCTTCGGGTCGGAATTTGTTTAGCATGCTGGTAAGTGCAGATCGTCTGGGGAAAGCTTTACAGATTGGTTGCTTTTGTTTCACTTCTTTATAAGTCCAGGCAAATGATGTTTTATTATTAATAGACTCATGGAAACCCAAACTTATGAAAGAGGTGAATCAGAAGGTACTTTACAGAAATATTCTTAACCCTTGAAAGTGAAATGAATCTCATGGAAGTTGATGGAGAAAGGTGTGGGGGAAGAAAAACTCAGAAGCTAGTGTTTCAGGGGTCAGCTCTGAAGTTATAAGGAATGACAAAGAGAATGTGGATTCCATTGACAAATGTTACTTTTAGAATTATTTAAGGTGAGATCTGCTCTATAAAGAACTTTGTAAACAGTATGAGCTTCCATGCACCTGGGAGAGGGAGTCAGTCCCTAGAGGGGGCAGGTCAGGTTAAAAGATGCCTGTGCAAAGCAAGGAGAGTGACTAGGGAAGGAGACTATTTTCCCAGCTAAGTGCCTCACCTGGGACCATCCCCTAATCCTCTTTGGGGACTTGAGTTCAGGAAGGGTTGGGCTGGGGCCCTCTGAATGTGTGAAGGTTTGTTTGCTTTCTTGGTAGCCCTTTCTTGTTTATATCTTTAGAACCTGTCCTTTACATTTCAAATCACACTGTGGTTTTCTTTTTACCACTCCTACTTGGTGTTGGTTTCTTGTGTATTTACCTGAGCTAGGGCCATGAACAAGACATTGTGGAATATCACTTTTGTTTAAAAGGCATCATTAAGTCGGTTTCGCTTCCTAGTTTTTATGAATAAATACACTTTTGAAGGGGGATTTTGAGATCTATTTTAAAAACATATTTGCATTTATTGAAAAATACCATGAAGACATTGCTAACCACAGTAGGCACACCTTGATTTTCTTTGGTGTAGGGGAAGAGGTAGTCTAGTGTTTGTGACCTCTAATTTTCACCATTGTTGCTGTTTGGGGAAAAGTTCCTTCACCATTTTGCTGTAAAATGGAAGTCACATAAAAATGTTATCAAAAAGAAACCATTGGAGCAGATAGTATTTTGGAAAGCTTAATGCATTCACTAAATTATTCCATTTATTTTGATGGAATAAATAACAAGTGCTCATAGACTGTGGTAGCAGCTGGGCTCTAGGAATGAATTAAACATGGGTTCTACCTTTATAGAGTATTATTTAAATCAGTGTTCATTGGTCCTGCAAATCTGCAACAGGGAAGGAAATGTGAGATATTGATAATTGCCCTCCTATTATTCCTTCTGGATGTCTTGGCAAACCATGGAGAGAGAGAGAGAGAAGGAACAGGATTGAGATCATCTGGTGGGCTCTGAGCTCTATTCTAAATTGTACTGATCATTAAAAAAAAAAGAAATTTGACCCACACTGTACTTGGCTTTTAAGGTAATATAAGTTCAGTATAGAAAATTTTATAACTGAGACACACTGTGGTACACGTTTCCTCATAACCTTGTCCTATCCTGCCACTGGTTAGCTATATGACTTTGGATAAGTCATTTAAATGTTCTGAGTCTCAGTTCCCTCATTTATTTGATAAATGAGAGAGCAGAATTGGATCAGGATTTCTCTTGATGTATGAGTCCCAGGACAAGTAGTGTTCAAGACAATGCAGGCAGCATATTGATGAGCATTTCTTTTTTTCTTTGTGCATCACAAAAATATAAATACTGCTTCAAGCTTATAATTTCATAGAAATTATAGCTTAGCAGAAGGCTAAATTAAAGAAAAGGGGAAGGTAATATGAAGAATTATATCAAATAAATAAAAGTACAGGTCATAATTGGTCATTACAACCAATCATGACCAAACATTTTTAAAGTGTGTGACTTACTGAGGTCCAGAAATACTGAAACATATGATCCCTTCCTTTCTATCGGCCCATAATTAATCTTATATTTAAGTAATATGGTTTTCCTATGAAAAATTTCTATTTGAAACAGTGTTGCAGTATCCAGAATAAACTTGTATCCAGCTTGCTCAAATGACCAGTAAACCAGACCGTTCTGAATGATCTTTTCATGCACTTGTCTTTATGTGAGTCAGTCAGTCACTGCTGCTTCAGATGTAATCTTATTTTTGTTTCCCTCTGTTGTGTTTTCAGATCAAATTTTTGACAGAAAGGATGTTCAAACATCTTCGGAAGTGGTTTGTCACTCATTTTTTTGTACATTCTCGGCAGAGGTCAAGGCTAGTTTCCAAGGATGGAAGGTGCAACATAGAGTTTGGCAATGTGGATGTGCAGTCAAGGTTTATATTCTTTGTGGACATCTGGACAACTGTGCTTGACCTCAAGTGGAGATACAAAATGACTGTTTTCATCACAGCCTTCTTGGGGAGTTGGTTCCTCTTTGGTCTCCTGTGGTATGTGGTAGCTTACGTTCACAAAGACCTCCCAGAGTTCCATCCTTCTGACAATCACACCCCCTGTGTGGAGAACATTAATGGCATGACCTCAGCTTTTCTGTTTTCTCTGGAAACTCAAGTGACCATTGGATATGGATTCAGGTGTGTGACAGAACAATGTGCCACTGCCATTTTTCTGCTTATCTTCCAATCTATCCTTGGAGTTATCATCAACTCTTTCATGTGTGGTGCCATCTTAGCCAAGATCTCCAGACCCAAAAAGCGTGCCAAGACCATTACCTTCAGCAAGAATGCAGTGATCAGCAAGCGGGGTGGGAAGCTTTGCCTCTTAATCCGAGTAGCTAATCTTAGAAAGAGCCTCCTTATTGGAAGTCACATATATGGCAAGCTTCTGAAGACCACAGTCACTCCTGAAGGGGAGACCATTATTTTGGATCAGATCAATATCAACTTTGTAGTCGATGCTGGCAATGAAAATTTATTCTTCATTTCCCCATTGACAATTTACCACGTCATTGATCACAACAGCCCTTTCTTCCACATGGCAGCAGAAACTCTTTCCCAGCAGGACTTTGAATTAGTGGTATTTTTAGATGGTACAGTGGAATCAACCAGTGCCACCTGCCAAGTCCGGACATCCTATGTCCCAGAGGAGGTGCTTTGGGGCTACCGTTTTGTTCCCATAGTATCCAAGACCAAGGAAGGGAAATACCGAGTGGACTTCCATAACTTTAGCAAGACAGTGGAAGTGGAGACCCCTCATTGTGCCATGTGCCTTTACAATGAGAGAGATGCTAGAACCAGGATGAAGAAAGGCTATGACAACCCCAACTTCATATTGTCAGAAGTCGATGAGACAGATGACACCAAAATGTAGCAGTGGCTTTTTAACGGGAGTAAAGCAAAGTCTTCTAGATATCTAGTGACTATAAGTATTACAACGTAATCAACAGTTTAGGGGTATGAAAGACCCTTCAAAGTCTACCAGCACAAGGACACTTGAGCCTCATAACTGTGATCCTACAAATCACAAAGCTCTACAAGGCTATTGTATTAGCACACATGGTGCATTTATATTAATCTGGCATATGGAAGCCAGATAGGAGCTCATTTGGAATCTTGAATATGATTATTTCAGGTTATGCAATGTTGATGGGAACAGGCCAAATCATCAAAAGTCTTAAGGACAGATCAAAAGTGATACTTTTTAAAGTTTCTTTGAAGAAGTTAGGAGCTTTAGATAGGATCAGGGAGCAACCATATTTTCATTTTGATTTTACTAAGGAGAAAAAATGTCACTTTCATTTTAACATGGACTTTTGTCACTGGAAAAAAATTGTCTTTGGAGTCTGGGGGAGATGAAATAACCAATCAATGACAATAAGAAGAGACTGCTACACAATGAATGATTTGAGGCTCTAACCTTCTTGAACTCTGGTTGTTGGAGACTTCGTCTGAATCTTGGTCACACTTATTTCAGGAGAGGCGAGGAAGGCATAGTCCAAGGACTCTGCAGGGACCAAACTTGCTTTGCCTTATGGCCTATCCAGATGCTGAGGTCCCCACTGAACTTTGGCCCAAATGATATCATGCAGTATGTTTAGACAGAGGCTAATAATAATATACTCAAGAATCTCAGTGAACATTTTCTTGCTAAATAGAATGTTTGATATTGACCTTTAGGGAGAGGTTTTAATATGAATGTCTTGTTCAGTTTTCCACATGCATTATTTTGAATGTATCCTGGAAAAAATGGAACTTGAAGCTGCTTAGGAATCAAAATGTTTTCAGTGCATTGATTAATATATTAAATTTCTGAAACTGCTCAGGCACTGTCCAAAAGTGTCCATTAATATGTATTAACTATGATGGGAAAACTGACGATAATACTCTTGCCAGGGATGGACTTTCTCCTGGAAGGGGTGGGACTGGTAGGAGGAAGGCAAATAGGATACATTTGTTGTCTTGACTCCCCAAGAGTAAATGAGTTTGGCTGTAGACACACCCCTTCCGGTACAACTCCATCAAATCTCTCCAGTGTGAGTCTTGGCACATGTAGGGGCAGCTGCCAGCAGTTGTCAGTAGCGACGGCTTTATTTTTCCAGGCCTGGGGTTGAGATTGTACAAATCTATATACACACACTTTAGTCCTTCTGACCCAGACCAGAGGGAATTCTGATGGCCTTGGGTTGTACACCTTCTCTGTGGCCATGGCCATGGACACAACTGGCTCACAGGAGATTACTCTGTGCCTGTGAATACTTTAATATCATAATTTAATTTGCTGGGAAAGATAATAGAAATCAGATATCCCAAACTTGAAGAAGCTGCAATTCTCCGCTGGCCCATTGACATGAGGTTTTGTGACTCTGTGGCTCTTTGGCTCTTTATAGAATGGAAGGGTAATGTATTGATTCAGTCATTCACAACAGAACATGCTCCTCTGGTCTGTTCTGCTGGTTGGTAACATGCTTGGGGACAGCTGGAAGTGAATGCTCAGAAGCAATCCATTCCCTTTGGTTGTTAAGAGAGCTTAAAGAATCCAACAGGAATCTTTGTGATTGGCTTTTGTTTCTGGGCTTGTCTACTTCCCCAAATTCCTTTATTAGGATTAAGACACCCTGCAATTGGAGACCTCTTTTTAATACAAATTTTCATTGAACATCTGACAACCATTAAAATACATCCAATAAAACCCTTAGGAAATGGGATGTGGGCACATAACTTTAGATAGTTCTAGGGGAAGTTGGAACCCCCCAAAAGCATAAGAAACTGTGGTAAGCTGAGGCAGAAAAATCACAAGTTTGAGGCCAGCCTCAACAATTTAGCAGGACTCTTAGCAAGGAGAGAAAGAGAGAGGGAGAGGGGTGGGGGGGGGAGAGAGAAAGAGAGAGAGAGAGAGAGAGAGAGAGAGAGAGAGAGAGAGAGAGAGGAAGAAGAGAAAGAAGAAGAAGAAAAGGAGAGGATGAGGAGGAGGAGGAGGAGGAGGAAGAGGAGGAGGAGGAGGAGGAGGAGGAGGAGAGAGGAGGAGGGTGGTGGGGGGAGGAGGACAGGAGAGGAGAGGGAAAGAAAGAGAAGAGAAAAGAAACCAACTGGGCATTTTGAAAGGGAGTTAAGAAGAACATGTGTGTGTGTGTGAAGGGTGGCTCAGTGAATAAAGAAAATAAATGGGAAGCAGATATCATCAGGAAACCAAATTTCTTACAGGTTAATGCCACTGCTAAAGGTAGGGGTTTTATTCCAATGTAGTGACATTTTTCCCAGTAGAACCTGACCACATCAATATTCATGTTGTTACAGGTGTGCCATATTATTATATTTGCTGACTTCTCCATTTCAAAAGCAATTCTATATTAATTTACATTAAGAAAAGGTACATTCTACAATATATTATACTGAAAGTTTTCCTTGGTACGATTCCCCTTGAATTGCCTAATTTATCTCTGTTGCTTTAGGGATTTTGACTTAAGAGACACCTAACCCAGTTTAACCTTCCTGGTCAAGGACCAATATTTAGAGTGAAGATCTGAGAGACTGCTGCTAATAAGAGGAAAAAAGAGAAGATCCTAAGTGGCCAGTCAAATCAAGGAAGTGATATGATTACTGCATTTCCATCACTAAAAGGTGTGACACAGGACCTTAAGAAAAGCTTCCCAAGTAGATGGTAGGGACAATTGCGGAGGCATCTTCCTTGGAGAGTTTTCATAAAACCAGAGATGGGTCTCCAACAGGATGCTGCAGTGAATAACATGGAGAATCTTTCCTCCTCTAGAAACAGTAGGGAAGCCTCTGATGGAAAAGAATGCAAATGAACGCTTGGTCCCGCCCCTGGGCCGTTGCTGTCTGCCATTACAGGAAGTGTGTGTCAATCAAAGCTTGACAGGGGAGATAGAACATTTTATTTTGGAAGCCAGAAGTTTGAGAACAATGACTGGAATTTCCTCTTTCTGTCCGGCAAGGGCTGTTTGTCATTGGGGAGATAAAAGTCCAGGGGTAGGGAATAAAGGTTATCGGGAACTGCGCAACACAGAGGCATGTTGGGGGGCGCGGTGGGAGGAGGGGTTATGGAGGAAATCTATTTCAATGCCTGTCATTAAGTTTCCATTAAAAGAACATTCAGTTAGGAATTCAAAAATAATTTAATCTCCCTAGCCAGATGCACCCAGCTGGGCTCCTTGGAGCTGAGCCCTGTAGAGAGGGAGATCTGCACACCCGCTGAAGGGGCTGGGAGCTGGTATGCATCTCCATCCAGCGCATCCCTGACTGCTTTGAATGTTCTAGAAGACACAAGGATCATTCAGGCGAGTGGACTTGTGCCATGGTACCAGAAAAATTTAATATAAGGGTATTTGCCAAGCTTTTTCTATGTCTGAGGCTGTCTTTTAAGCATTTTATGTACACTAACTCATTTAATTTTCACAACAATCCTCCGAGGTCATTAGTAGTATTAGACCTATTTTTCACATGAGTCAGATGAAATAAGGAACTTGTCTAGAGTCATGAAGTAGCAAATGGCAGGGCTGGGACTCACATCCATGTTGGTCTGTCTTCAAAGCCCAAGTGTTTAAAATCACTTGTCTATGTCTTAAAATGAATTGCCCTCTGAGAAGACTCACGGACGCCATCAGATATTTACTAGAAACCCACTGTTGGTGCATGGTCTTACACTTTAGCGAAAACACTCATTGCTTAGCAAAGGTTAGATCCCCTGTTCAGGGCTTAATAAGCACCAATGGAATTACATGTTCTAGGAGAACGTGGTGTTTTTCCAGGGATTTTAGGTAACCTGTCTAGTGTGTCTCCAGAAGTATCATGGGCATCCTGAAGATTTGCCTATCCCGTTGGTACAAACTATCCTCTCAATACTATACACACACACACACACACACACATATGTGTATATATAGTACAATATTCTCTCTATATTATATATACTACATATATGTCAGTAGTGTGTATATATATATATACACACACACACAATACATGTACCAGTTGCATATAATTTAAATACAGATATATATATACACACACACACACACACATCACTATTTCACTCTCTAAGGTGGAGACAGTTATTATTCCTATTCTGATAAATGGAGAAACGGAGCCTCAACTATCCTTGCAGAACAGGGTCTGTGTTTTCTATTCAATTCTATATTCCTAGCACCAGCACACTTACTGACAAAGTCAACAAACATTTTTGAATAAATAATTTTCGAGAACGTACATGGCTAATTGTAGATTTGAACCTAGATCTGTCCAAAGACCTTTTGATCAAGCTACAATATTTTCTAGCTGAGGGGCTTTGATAGGGGTCTTAACTTCATTGAATCTCAGTTTCCTTTTTTATAAAATGGAATTTTAAAATATAGTTGAGGAAAGATGAGTAAAATGATAGATGTACCTGCTCTTGGTAGAAAGTAAAGGGCAAATGAAGAGCCCACACAGGGCAGGAGCAATAGTGTTGAACCCCAGGGGGATGCAGGGAAGGCACTGGCCCACAGACAGGGCAGACCCATGAGGCAGGGCTCTACCAGAGATCAGAGGAAGCCTCGAGGAACAGGTGAGAGCACCCAGAGGCCCATCTGAGATGGGATGGGGCGAGAACTGGGGGCACTGGAGTAGGATCATGGTCCTTGGACTTCATTGCAAACCAACAGATGTTTGTATGGAGCTTCCTGTGAGTCACACACTGTGGATACCATGATGAGGGAGTAGGGATCATGCTCACTGGAAGGAAGGATCCTGGGCCTTAACCAGCCCGGAGGACCAGAGCTAAATTGCAGAATTGTTGGTTGTGGAGAAAGTCACTCCTTTGCCTTATGTAATAATGCTTATGGTTTAAAAAATTATATTGGCCCTACTGCTAACAATAAATCTATTATTAGTTATAGTTTTAAAATTATTTAAGCTTTAAAACAGTTTACCCTGCTAGGGATGAACAGTCAACAAACTGTTTTGAAGTCACTCGTAGTTATTCTCTCAGTGTCAGTATGTAGCAGCTTGATATGGATTCAGGTTCATTTGCTTTAGTTTCTTTCTAATTGCTGGATTGCTTATTGTTTTCCTTTTGTGATTTAACTGTTTTCTTATAAAATTATGAAAAAAACTCTCCAGGATTTCAAAGTGATAGAAGAGAGTTTAGAAATCTCACTTCTGTTCTGCCCTATGCTCATTTCTCTTCTCC